GATGGCCCCTTCATAAAAGGCATGAAAATTGCGTTCATAATGTATTTCAACCTTTGTATTTGATTTTTTTTTAATGGAATTATGGATAATCATCGAAGTTTTCAGGCTTCAAAATTACGGGAACCAGTATTTTGCGTAATAGTTCAGAATTGCTTGTCTTTTTGGGGCCAAGCAGTTCAAAAATACCCTTTCTTTCCAAAAGGACGTCATATTCCGTGGAACGCTCAAACAAGTCAGAGCAGCTGCGCTTTCCGAATTCGAGAAGTTCAGGATCCACCGAGGCTAGATCAGTCGATTTAATATCACCAGAATCAGAGTGACGCACATCTAAAGCAGATCAATTAAGATTAGGAGGCAGGAACATCGATAATCACTTATAAGTGATAAACAAGCAATCTCGAATCTTAAAAAGTTTTTATTTAATTGGTAGAATAATAAACTGAATAGGAAATTTCTATATACTAAAATGATGTAAAATAAATTGAATAATATTAGGATGATTAAGGAATAATTGTTAAACAATTCCAAAATTATGAGGCAAAACGTTTTCATTGAATTTCCAAAAGCCTCGCTTCAGGTTGCGCTGCAATTTCGACTCGAACCAAGGTAGTGCATCGTATAGTCCCGTTGGGGATTCTGAAGAAGCCTAACCGAGGTCGAAAATGCAGTTCACTCTGGATGAGAATACATTTTAGGAAGCAAGGCTATGTAAAATTCATAAGAGCGTGAGGCCTACAAGAATAATTACGTTAAAATCCAAAAACGATTTCGACATCCCATTAAAAGAAATAGGGTGAATAGAAGTATTATCAAATACCTATTTGTAATCTTGTAAATATGCTCTGAAAAAGAAGATAGGTATGAAAGAAAACTAGATTCTGAAGTATTCTTTATGACACTGTTGTATTGTGCAAAGAATTTCTCGCCTTAGCGTCCTACGCTTTCGTCTCTACTGTCGCAGATATCGTCAGAGCCAAATTCCATACTTTACAAAATAGAGCAAAAATATAATAAACCAAGAGAAGAAGGTAGTCGGCTGCAACCCATGTCGCTTTTAATGAGCCCAACATTGCGATCTTAATTAGGCCTCGTCATTTCGTGGGCTAATTCAAACTTACTCAAAATGCGCTCGGTGGCAGCTGTTTTATCACAGAAGAACTAGCATACGATCGCCTAATGCTGAATTATGTTTGGGCTTATGCTATTATCTATTGTAGGCATGTAATGCTTATGCCATGAGTAGTATGATAGTCCTATCTAGACTCAAGGATAATCCAGCCTCCGTTTCTTGTTCAGGGGCTCTTTCTACACTCCCTCTCCTTCCTTAAGCCTATTCAAAAGCCACAAATAGTTCCTACTCAGACTTTTATACTCGTTCCTCCTATTCAGGACGTTGGCTGTTTTATTAATTTCTATAGACTCCTTTATCTTACGCTTTGACGTAAAGTCCCCGTAACCAATAAAACGTTTTTTTAAAACAATTGCCCATGCAGATTCGGAGAATATTATATATCACGTGTCAATAACAGGATAAAAGGAGTTTGCTCTCTTGGGAGAGATAGACAATTCGATCATTCTTCTCATTTTCTGATTTTACCTTACTATCAGCTTGCGGAAAGTTTGGCTGATCTACTGAAGAAGTGGAACATAAAACAATGTATAAAGAGAAATTAACACTTTCTCCAGTAGTTCCTTCGTTTAGAGAATTTTCAGACCCTCGTTTTAGATCAGGCTACCACAAGGTTTTGTGCTCAGCTGGTAAGGCCTATGTGATGGAGACCTGCCGACCTATTTACGAGAGATTTTGCGAACACAAAGCCGCTTGTATAGGTCTGTGGGTCGAAAAAGCTGAGCTTGTTGAACACATGGCCAAAATAGGATACACAATAGCCCGGTCCATATCAGGTTTTGCGGATTACGTGGACTTCACATCAAAGCGTAGGATTAGGGAGTCTATAGACATTACAAAACAGCCAACGTCCTGAATAGGAATTAATATAGAAGACTAAGTAGAAGCTATTTATGGCTTTTGAATAGGCAGAGAGACGTAGTGCAGGAAGAGCCACTAAACAAGAAAATTGGGCTGAATTAGCCTTGAGTCTAGCTAAGACTATCATACTACTCATGGCTTGAGCATTACATGCATACAATAGATAATAGCATAAGCCCAAACAGGATTCAGCATTAGGCGATCGTATGCTAGTTCTTCTGTAATGAAACAGCTGCCAACGAACGCATTTCCGGTTAGGGAAGTTAATTTCACTCATTTGCAGGCATGTTGAGTAAGGTTGAAGTATCCAATGAAATGAAAAGAGGCCTAATTAAAATCGCAATGTTGGGCGTATAAAAAGCGACTTGGGTTGCAGCCGACTACCTTCTCTTTGTTTAGTATATTTTTGCTCTATTTCATAAAGTATGGAATCTGGCTCTGACGATATCTGCGACAGTAGACGAAAGCTTAGCACACTTTCATCGGGGTCGCAGGTCGGTAAGGCGAGAAATTCTTCGCACAATTCAACAGTCTCCCTACGCGGCTAACCTTCTTGATTTATGGTAAGACCACGTCACGAATTCAATCCAAATAACTTTCCCTTCGAAATGAAAAGTCATGTCATAATTAAATAAGTAATTACATAATTCCACTGCCCTGACGGATTAAATAGATTTACTTCGATCTCATATATAAATAGTGATGAAAAGAATATCATGATATAAAATATGATCATAGCCACTAAATACTATAATGAACTTAAGTCCGGTTCTTAAATCTCGAAATAAAAAAAATTACAGAGGTTGTTTGACCTTGTTTTCGCAACATCGTCATATTGGTAGGACTTAGAGGAACGAACCTAGTCCTGAGTCCATTGTCTGCAACATCATTCCCAAAGTTGAACCGTGGACGTGGTACATTCCCAGACGTTTCGTCGGCATCGTAGTCGGCATCATCAGTGAGTCTCGCCATTCTTAG